TGCGTGTTTGTTGTGGTGCACTGAAGTAGGGCAGCTCATTCATTTTTCACACTTTCTGTGTTACGGTGGCTCCACTCTTTGAAAGAGCAGTGTAACCACCCTTGGACAGCGGCATGTAATCCTGTGGAGAGGGAAGAGTTGAGTGAGATATACATTGTTCGAATTTCAGCCAGCCAAAATTCGCACCCTTCCGCCTGGTATCACTTGATCAGCTGATCAAAGGAGCCAGTTGGAAAATTCTCAGGCACTGGCTGCTGTCAGAATACTATGCAAACAGCGGGGGATTCGTCCATCAAAGCCCATAAGCATCGATGGCGCAATCTGTTCTATTTTTTCCGTTCAGCCCGCCGGTTGAACAAAAAAATAGAACTATGTATATTCCACTTTAGATGCACTACCAGATTTATATCAACATGACTAACAAATTTAAGTCTAAACTCCAGCTAAAACTTTATAAAGCAGGTACAGCAACAGTTTTTTTTTTGTTTTTTTTCTTGTTTTCTCTAAATTAATAGAAGCTGATCGTTGTAAGCACCCCTGTCAGTGTTAAATGGTTTGTCCCATCCCGCTATCTGCCACTTTTGCTGGACAGATTGGTCTGATAATGGAAGTTGAAAAATAATAGACTTACTGGCCGGATCACCAGGTGAAAATAAAGAACACTGAGCCTAAAAAAGAAAACTAATGTGGCCACCACATCAAGAATTGTTATGCTGCAATATATGACATTTGTGCTTTTGAGTTTAGATACCCACCTGTTAAAGTGCATCCCTATGGGTGGAGCATTTTACTGGAAATGCCTAAATCCATCAACCAAAGATGTGCTGATAGCTATTCGTCTGGTTCAAATTACAGTTTGTCAGCTAAATTACAACAATTGCAGCAAACAATGAGACTGTCTGGACAGACAGATTAGTCCTGCCTAAGAGCGGACAGCACAATGGGTTCGCTATGCTGTTTATTAGCTCAGTAATCAGATCAAGGTGAACTGATTGAACCATTTGACTTCAGCACAGTTGCTTCTTTTTACTAGGTAGCATTATTAGCTCAGTAAAGGCTTTCTCTTTTTGTCAAGAATTGTTTTATGAGGTAAATGCTTTAAGAAAAAGTTGGCTGAGGTAAAACACGTAAATTGCCTGGTTTTCAGCCATACTGATGGCCTTTCTCTGGAAAACTCTTCATAGATTTTCCTCAGTGTTTTTTAGGAGTTTCCTGCATTGCTACAACTGTTTAAAACGTGGGAAAGATCCCAGAGGTGGGATTACGATAGAGATACTCCTCTGCCTAAATTCTATAACACAAGTTCAAATAAAGTACAAGGAAAGGCTCCTATATGACAGTCTAAACAAGTCCCAGATCTAGTTACTATGCCATGCAGTAGTCCCACGGAAAAGTAATGTAAGAAACTAACTTTACCTTCCCTGACTGACTGCGCCAAATTGCTCTTCGTTTGTGTCTTACACAACTCCCCCTCCCAGACACTGTAGCTCACAGTGGGAGGGTTTCAGCAACAGAGATTTTGCTGCCAATCCAAAAGGAATGGGCAGGACTAGACAGTCTTCTGAATCGGCAGGAATAATTCTGATTGCCATGTCCTCCAACATTTTTTTCATCCCACTCAATTGTGCAAACCGGAACAGCCTACATGAGAGTGGCAAGCTCTGAATTCAAGAGCAGTGCAGCATCATTGCCACATCATCACAGGAAGCTGCATTAGGTGGACTTCATTGGCAAGATCAACAAGAATTTGTAAGACTTGCCAGGGAGACTAAGAGAAAGCTGCAAGTGCTGATGCACTAAACATCTATGTTTAGGCTATGTAAACTTTTTTTTATTAAACAATTAAAGTAATACAATAAGTAGTAGAAACAACCAGAAAGGGCAACAGAAATCCTCCGTACAAATCCCAGACATGTATTCACAGGCATAGCAAGAGTGAATAAAGAATAGGCACAAATCTGGAGGGACAAGTCCCAAGCGCTAAAACCCCAACAGGGTCCCTGTACTACATCATAGTGGTCTGTAAAAGTTTTTAATGACACTGATGGCTAAATGTGTACAGGTTTCAGAAATGCATTAGAAATAAATGTCTTTAAATTTAAGGATGTGGCAGCGCAGAGAGAAATCTTTTTCAATACACAGTACACTTATCCCAGCAGAATACCATTCCATTCCAGCTGTCATCCAGTCTATTTTTTAAAATCTATTGTTCTTCTTTTGTCATTGCTGCCTCCTTTGGTAGGGTATTCAACTGAACTCTGTTGGATTAGTGTTGAATCAGTTTTTATTAAGTTTCATAAAAGAAGATTCAGACAATGCACATAATGGCTCAAACATTAAATCACAGTGTTGGGATACAATATGAGGGAGGGAAACTCTCATTGGCACAGCGTTGACATCGTTCAGTTTGCCCGACTCGCCGTAGTTGGTTAATTTATATGAGCACAGAAAAAGGAACAGAAAAACCAACATTACACCGAATCTGTACGAGTGCTGTGCACAACCTTTTGAGCAAACATTTCCAGGAGCACCCTATAGGGCCACCTGATTCTGTGCGATTTGGAGCTAACCTCTTTAATAGCATATATTATAATCTTCTCGTGCACCGTCTGACTTTGCAGTCAGATTAGAGAAGCATTTAAACAGAGAAAAAGCGGGGAAGACAGGACAGAAGGAGAAGGACGGGGTTAAGGAGGGAAGGCTGAGATTGGGGGGGG